ATAAGCTGTACATGCCAGTGCTTGTTTTCATTTTTCATTTTTACTAGTGTATGTCTGCAGTGTGTCACGGGAGGTTGGTCCACATGTCTCAGTTCCTTTTACATTGCCTTCCTTTCTTTTCCCGACCCCTTTCCTTCATCTCTTGCAGATCTGTACAACCTCTTTGTATTCTAACGTAATTTTGTCACATATGTTGACTTTTTTCAGTTGTCTGCCTTTTAATTATATTTTCCTTCACCCTTGGTGATTTTGTTTTTGTGGGAGATTATTTTGGCTTCGGTGTGAAGAATAAATGAGTGCTGGAGACAGGAGATGAGGAGTTGGCTTTCCTGTGGGTGAGGAAGAGGGGACAGTTCGAGAGTAAGGGCAGTGGCAGCGAGGAGCAGTTCTTCATCTGGAGAGGTTGAGGAGTTAGGATCTGGTGTGGGGTTAGAGTTGGGAGAGGAAGAAGATGGCAAAAATAGTGCTCATGTTTTGTCCATTTGCTTGTTGGATAGTTGTTCCCTGTTGTGAGGAAAGCAGATTTGGGGCTTAGGGTGTAAATGTTATAGTTTGGTTTTAGGTCTGTTAGCTTTCAGATGACTTCAGGACATCTATCTGGAACTGCTTAACTGGCGGTGGGGTAAGTGGGTGAGAGGCTCAGGACAGGAGCCTGGACTGGAAATCTTTCCTTCCCTGTTTCTGCAATGCCTTCTCCCTCCATTTTTCCATCCATCCATCCCATCGTCCCTCTGCCCATCCACTTACCTATACAATCTTCATGGAACCTAGCAGCCATACTCTCCCCAGGCTGTGAGGACTTGACAGTGAACAGAGACTGTAGATCTGCTTTAGGGGGCTTGCGTGGGGGAGGGAGCCAATTAGAATATCAGAGAGCAGTCAGTGAAGATGTTGATGCTGTTACTTTTATCACAGTAGGTCTCTTGATATTCTTACCTAATGTTTCCTAATGCCTACAGCAACCGATTGGTCACATTGTGTTGTGTGATGTTGTCTTTCAGGGACGAATTCATACCAGTGCACAGCGCAAACTGCAGTATGGGCATTTGGCGAACTTTCTTGGTGACAAGGCATCAAAAAAACTGACAGAAGAAAGCAAAGTGATAACTGTGGATGGCAACATATGTTCTGGGAAGGGCAGGGTTGCAAAAACAATAGCAGAGCGTCTAGGTATGAATTCCTGTCATGCAGAATGGCACCTTTTTTGGGGGATACGTGTTTGTTTATCTCACTTTGATTTTACTGAAGTGTTGCCTAGGTGGAGTTGGGCCTAAGGTAGGTAGTTTACATTTCTGATGTGTTATTGGAAAAGTTGTTTTTAGTCTTTCAGATTTGGGGGATGGGGAATCCATGCCAGATGTCAGCTTGACTTGGGTTTGACCTGGGCTTTGCAGGTGGGGCATTTCCATGGGGGCAGTTGTAGATGAACTTCATGAGAACCCCTAACACAGACTGGGCTGTTCTGTCAGTCATTGAGGCACCCAGGCAGACTGGAGATCCTCCTGATCTTCCTGTGGGTGTTTGTCCACTGTGCCTTTCTGTGGCATTTGATGGCAGCTGTGCATGCACAGTGGGCCTCCCATGGTCACAAGATCCTGTCGGTTTTGAGGGAATTTGCATGAGGGCCCCCAAGGTCCTTCGGCATTCAGGCAGGCTGTCTCCAGTGAGGCACGGGAGTGAGGGGAACTTCCCATTTGGGGAGGCTGCCCACAGTGGGAGGTTGCGATCCACTCCTGCTTTATCCAGGCACTCTTGTTCTCAGGCCTGAAGCACTTTCCTGAAGCAGGGATCCATTACGCAGCCAGCGTCACAGGAGACGGAAAACCCCTGGATGAGGAGCTCACTGGCAGCTGTAGTTTGGAGAAGTTTTACGATAACCCACAAAGCAATGATGGCAACAGCTACCGCCTGCAGTCCTGGCTGTACACCAATCGCCTCCTGCAGTACGCAGATGCCCTGGAGCACCTACTGAGCACAGGTGAATACTGGGGCTCAGCTGGCTGTCGCATGCTTGGGCTTGATCCTGTTATAGAATTCAGCTGTTTCAAATTGCTGTACGTAGAATATTCCGTAAGGTTCCCTTGGAGGTGTATACTCTAGTAAGGTCATTCCTTGGAATCCAGTTGCTTCAGACTGTAGTTTCATTGTGTGTACCAGAGTGAGTTGTACGGATTGTGTGGCATATCTTTGCCCCTCATGAAGCATATAAATGAAATGTGTCAAAGTAATGGAGGAAAGAGAGGACCTGTAAGGGCCTGGGAGGGAGTGGGGGTGCACTCATGAAGAGGAAGTGTGGGTCCTGCAGAGATACAGCGACAGCAGACTGGGATTGTTCTAGAGGGCTGAGAGCTCCACTGAAATTCACCATAAAGGTACAGGCAGTAGTTAGGACTTGAAGAAGGTGGCAGAAGTAGGGAGAGGCAGAATGCAGAAGTCTTGTGGGCTCCTGTGGGAAGCCATTGACAAGACCTGTGTTTTGGAGCAGGCCACATTCAGCCTGGGAGAAGGGCAGCAAGGAAACAAAATTGGAAATGAAGAGAGGTGGACAGAGGGCAGGGATATAGGTTGTACATGTGCACATGAGGTCAGAATCCAGCAGGGGCTGCTTCAGTCCCATGGGAAACAGTGGTATATGTTGCTCTGGGGCCAACACCAGAACGCCCTGAGAACGAGACAACTACCAGTTTTTGGCCAAAGCTACCAGGCCACGCTGCTTCTGGATTCACAGATGGAGGCAAGTAGCATGCCTGTGTGTGGGAGAGACAGAGATAGCTGATTTTTACGACTTTGTGTCCACTTGATGTAGCATGGTTGCCACGGGTGACATCAGAGCTCTGGAGAAGCGTGTGCACACACACAAGCTTGGCTGCTGAGGTAGAGTTGGCCCTGCGGGGTCC